TTTTCTTTTCTATATATTGTCAATCAAAGCTATTCTACGCCTACTTATATTTCGTATATGAATATTATTAATAATAAACTGTTTTTCCATATATTTAAGACACAAAAAAAAACAAGCTTTTTTAAATAATGATTTTTATTATGTCACTTATAAGTGAAGGATTACAATAGTATAAGTTATAGTTAATGAAGAAAAAAAGGAAAATTTAAATTTCGCGTTCAATGACGTTGTGGATATTTGAAGACATGTTCAAGCTATAATAAAACAAAGAAAAAGAAAAATTTAACTTTTTTTTATCAATAAATAACATACATCAATTGTAATGACAGCTTGACGTAATGCATTGCGAATTAATTCATTGTATTTTGGATCAACGATAATATCAAAATCAATAATTAAATTGTTTGTCTTATCAACAGAAATATTTGAAATATCGATTGATTTAAGACCAACTCGTTGAAATTTACGAATTCCAGCTGCTAAGATATATTTAAAGTTTTGTGGAAAACGTCCGCAAAGGCGGCTTGAAACTTGTTCCAATGAAACACCTTCTAACAATAATGTTGAGCTGATTTTACGTAACGCACATCGAGCACAACTTGTATCCTTACGACTACCTTTACGAAATGGAACATCAGCTGATGTTGATAAAATCTAAATAAATATATATATGATATATATAAACAAAGTGATATCAAAGCTAGTCAACATACTCGAACAATATGACCAGTTCGATGCTTGGCTACTTCAGTCTTACGTGTTGGTTTAGGTTTATTTTCATTTTCTTCCGATGATGAAGAGGACGATAAATCTGCTAGAAGAACAAAAAAGATTCCTGAGATGTAAATACTATTTACTGTAGATTTTTGGAAAAAAATGCTCTCGTATTAGTAAAAACATATATCGAATCTTGCAATTGCAATATGAATCAGGACTCGTATAATATTTATTATAAACTATGTTGATGAAATGCTTACATGGATGAGATTTAGATTTTTTGTGTGGTCGTCGGATCTTTTCATCTACATCTTTGCTGTCATCACCACTAGAACTATCTGATGAACTTGAATCATCAGTACATGATCGGCGTTGTTGTTCATCAATTGTCTCGCGTAACTAATAAAGTTTAAAATTCATTTATAATATATTTCAAATAGTCTCTACTCACTTTTTTTTCTTTACAAACACTGTGTAAAGCAGCTTTAATATGCTCATGTTCTTCCTTTTTAGCATCTACTGAATAATGAAATTCACATTGAGAATTCTCACCAACTACTTTGACGACATCGATTTTAACTGCTTCTTTTATACCCTTCTTTGTTAATTCTTGGTCAACTAAAGATGAAAGTTCTTTGGCGACAGCTTTTGAGCTAGCAATATCTTTTCCGAACCGTTTGCTTGAACATTTCTTGACACTTAATACACCAACAAGTTTATTCTCTTCAGATGAAATCTTATGTCCATGTTCACAATCAATTTCACAGGGTTCAATCCAAGCACCACAACCTGCTGGACGTTTTGCTATAAAATACAAAGCTTCTATCAAAATTTATCAATCATTGAATTACTTACTGCGTTTTCCTTCAACAGTTGTCTTTGATACACTGTGTGCTATAAATAAGGCATTTAAGAAATAAGAGAAAATACTTTACAAGATTTCAAACTTACTAGCACCGGTATGTTTGCTTGTTGTATGAGTTGCAGGAATTACATGTGATCCATTTGATCGAGGAGCATGTTTCGTTGAATCATGAGTGGCTGGACCTTCATGAGGTTTGTCACTGTGTTGTTCTGGTTTGTGGGTAGCTGGGCCTTCATGTGGTTTCTC